GTTCAAGAGATAAATCTCTCTCTCCCTAAAAGCTTAAACTTAAAAAGTATTCTAAAACAATAAGACCATATGATGTGATACGAATTAGGTTCCTAAAACATGTATTTATAGTGCTCAAGACATCACTGGACGTCACTTAAGGTTTCTCCAAATGAGGGAATAATTTTGGGCTTCAGAAATGGGCCTTCTAGTTCGGAGTTGGCTGGCCGCAGTCGGGAAGTGCGTGGCCGCAGGGAATGGATGCTTGGCCGCGGTTTGGGTAGCCTTTGACCGTGGTGAAATGGCTGTTGGCCGCGGGTGGAAATGATTACCGGCTGGTTTACGGGACATCTTGCTCTTCGCGTAACTTTTGATTGAACCGTTGGATTGCCAAGCTGTAAAGTGTGCTGGAAAGCTGATAGTTTCATCTTTGAGGTCTCCAAATTTGAGCTGGATCAGACGGTGAGAAGGCCTTCAATCGGGGGTGAACTTCTGACGGTTTGACTCTGAGCTGAAAATCTGGTCTTCTATTCATTTTGTTAAGTCTTTCCCTAAGTTTCCTAAAAATTGTCTTGGAACTACAAATACTAGAAAAACATAATAAAAGTACTTGAAAGCAATAAAAACATAGTAAAAGTATTTCAAAACGATCCATAAAAGTGGTCCAAATACGGTGTTATCAGCGAGCAGGCTCACGACGCTGGTGTTATGGATGACTCGGATGGATGTCTCGATCCATATGGTCGAAATGTCGAGCGTGATGTTCTTCTCTGCGTCTGGTGGCTTGAGGAGTGTTGTAAAAAACCTTTCTTGTAGTTGGGATTTGGATTTATAGGGTCCATTGCCTCGGGAATTGAAACAAAGAGAACCAAAAACGAAAATAAGTAGAAAAATGGTTCTAGAGTCGATTTACCAACATTTCTTAGAGTTTCGCGGAAAAGGAAACGCGTGCCTTCCCCGGAAACTGCGCCAAAAACTTGATGTCTGCTGTGATGAGGGTGTCAAGTTTTACTCTAATGAAATCAATAAGCCGCAATTGCACATCTGATCGATTATAGTACTTAAGGATCGAATTCACAGGAATGAGGTTATTTTCTTCAAAAGCCTTCGAGAGAAATATAAAGTAAGGAAGTATAGAATCAGGCGATATTTTAAGGGGTTTTGGTGGTGTCTTTACAACGTAAAAATTAATCTTAATGGAAAAGTACAAAAATCAAAATAACATAATAACTAAACCTAATAAAATCAACTAAACACGATGAAAATGACTAGATATAAATTGCTTGAATGAAATAGGCTGGAATATAGAAAATTGTGCGAGCCAAAACTCGCACAATCAAAAATTTGTAAGGAAAAACTAAGGGATCCGAAATTTCTAGGGTAATCGCAAGAACAGTAAGATCAAAAGAAGGTTTTGTTTGCTGTGAAAGTGTTTAGGTCTTATTGCTCTCGAGTTGTGAAAAGTTACAGAATGAATTGTATACATCGTCTATTTATACTAATTCTCTGAACCGCCTAGCCGAGAATTTCGGAAGGGATTTTCAGAATATTTCCTTATCGCCTCGTGCGGCTCACCGCCTTTGTATTTCACCTAGGGTTCCTATGGGCTTCGTCTTTCAAGGCCTAGGTTCGGCCCATCAAAACTTCTCCACGGCTCGGCCCACTTGCCATTCGAATCGCGACGTGATTTGGTCCACCTCACTGAGGCGCGGCTCGGCCCAAGCATGTTGAAATGCGGCTCGGCCCATTTCTCACGATACAGCTCGGTCCACCTGCTTTCTTACACAGCTTGGCCCACTGGACATCCTTCCCGCGGCTCGGCCTACTTGTTCCTCTTCGCGGTTCGGCCCATCTTTGCACGGCGTGGCCCATCTTTCCTTATTCACGGCTCGGCCCATCTGCCTTTCTCCACGGCTCTCCCACTTGTCTATCTCCACGGCTCTCCCACTTGTCTTTCTCCACGGCTCTCCCACTTGTCTTGGTGAGCGCAGCTCGGCTAATTTGTCTTTTTTCCATACTTAGTCATTTCGAGATGGTTTTATCCGCTTGGGGTGAGAACCGACCCCAACAGTTAGCCCCCCAGCTCGTCAGTTTCGGAGGCGAGAATGATGAGGTCCATTACTCCTGACTGTCGGATAAACCATCGAGTCGAGCTGTTACGACTTAGGCCCAAAGATGCCGAGGCGTTCCCAAGGAGTGCCCAGGATGCCGAGGCATTTCAAGAAGGTGCCGAGGATGCAGAGGCAAGTTAAGGACGAGGCGATTCTGTTTAGTAGTGGCGAGCCGTGATGAGGCGTTTTGAGAAGGTTCTGTCGAGCCGAATAAACGGCGAGGCGTTTTGAGAGAAAGTTGGTGCCGAGCCGTTTTGTTAACGACGAGGCGTTTCAAGAGAGAGTTAATACCGAGCCCTTTCGTTAACGGCGAGGCGTTTCAAGAGAGAGTTAATGCCGAGCCGAATAAGCGACAAGGCGTTTTGTGAAAAATGTGACGAGCCGAATAAAACGACGAGGCGTTTTGCGAAAACTGTGCCTTTCTTAATGACAAGACGCCCATAGTGCTACGGTGAGCTGAAAGACTAATACTAAAGCTTTTCCAGAAAATACAATGCCGAGGCGTGTTAGATATTGTCGGGGGAGAGTGTTACGCCGACACATGTGATCAAGATACGGCTTGTTACTAGATTAAGTCAGGAGATGCCAAACCGACAAGGTCAAAAGATGCATAGACGACAAGGCAAGACAGTGCCTAGAAGATGAGTCGAGACGATGGCTAGGAGACAAGGCAGGAGGATGCCTACGCGACGAGGCAAGATGACGCCTAGCCAACGAGCCGAGATGATGCCTAGGCGATAATGCAAGAGGATGCCTAGGCGACAAGGCAAGGTGACGCCTAGCCAACGAGCCGAGATGATGGCTAGGCGATAATGCAAGAGGATGCCTAGCTGCCGAGCCGAGTTAACGGCTAGGTGACAAAGCAAGAAGATGCCTAGGCGACGAGGCAAGATGACGCCTAGCCAACGAGCCGAGATGATGGCTAGGCGATAATGCAAGAGGATGCCTAGCTGCCGAGCCGAGTTAACGGCTAGGTGACAAGGCAAGAGGATGCCTAGGCAATGAGGCAAGATGACGGCTAGGCGACAAGGCAAGTAGATGCCTAGCTGCCGAGCCGAGTTAACGGCTAGGCGACAAGGCAAGAGGATGCTTAGGCAACGAGGTAAGATGATGCCTAGGCAACGAGCTGATGATGGCTAGGCGATGATACAAGATGAATCTTAGGCGACAAGCCGATGACGGCTAGGTGATAACGAAAGAGGATGCCTAGCCGCCGAGCCGAGTTAATGGCTAGGCGACAAGGCGAGGGGATGCCTAGGTGACGAGGTAGAGAGGATGCCTAGGCGACGAGCCGATGATCGCTGGGCGATGATACAAGATGACACCTAGCCGACGAGGCAAGATGATGCCTAGGCGACGAGCCGGGATAATTCATGGACGACGAGCAGAGATAATGCCTAGGCAACGAGCCGACCTAATGTCTAAGAGACAAGGCGAGGTGATGCCTAGGCAACGAGCCGATGATGGCTAGGCGACGAGATGATCCCGACGAGGCAAGATGATTCCTAGGCGAAAAAGGCAAGATGATGCCTAGGCGACAAGCCGAGATAATGCCTAGGCAACGAGCCAAAATAATGCCTAGGCAACGAGCCGAGATAATGCCTAGGCAACAAGGTGAGGTGATGCCTAGGCGATGAGTACAGTAAAATAATGCCTAGGTGACGATCGAAGATAATGCATAGGCGACGAGGCCTTTTCGTTTAGATGACGCCGAGCCGTGTTTAGCGATAACGACGAGGCGATTTTCATTGGCAATGCCGAGCCATGTTTAATGATAACGACGAGACGATTTTTATTGGCAATGCCGAGCCGTGTTTAATGATAACGGCGAGGCGTTTTCATTAGATGATGCCGAGCCATGTATAACGACAAAGCGTTTTCATTATATGATGCCGATCCGTGTATAACGTTGAGGTGTTTTGTTTTTTATTAACCAAAGATGATTTCGGGCCGTTCATTGAGATTTATCCATTCTATCACTGAGAGAGGTCTTCATTGAGGTGAGCTGTTTTAGATTGTTTTGATAAAGAATCTCTGACTAACGCTGAAGTATTTTTCAAGTAAGTTATGTGTTTTATAGGCCTTGTTTTCTTTGAGAGACTGATCGTTCGTGAGGAAGAGTCGGGCGTTGCAGCCAAAGTGTTTAGCTTGAGCCTGTTTTTTTTCTTGCCGAGGCGTTAGCCCAGGGTTTCTCATTGATGAGGCAAAAGTTCCAGAGGATATAGTGTTCTCTTTGGAATATGACTATAGACCGGCGTTCCCGAGAGGGTGAGTGTGTTTTGCCGGGTTTTAAGAGTTCACTTTGGTTTTAGAGAAAGCGATGTAGTCTCGTCTTATAATCTCGTGTGCGATAGTGGACTGTGGCGACCGATACGTTTTTGGTCTGAAATTTGTATAGCGCGCTTTATTTTTATCCATAGAGGATGTAACTTGCACCCTCGTCCTAGGAAAGGTGGTAAAAGTCCGTTTAGAGAACTTTGTATTTGTTGTCTCGTTGTGGCCAGCAACGAGACGAGGCGTACGGTGTTTGGATACCAAAGTAGAACTTTGCCGAAGCAATGCAAGATCAATGAAAATAAAGTAAAATGTTTAGCCGACGTAAAACAAGTGAATAAAAGACTAGCCAAAGTGAAAGCAAGTGAATTAAAACTAGCTGAAGTGAACGCAAGTGAATTAAAACTAGCCGAAGTGAAAGCAAGTGAACGAAAGGAAAAATGAAGTGACATAAATCTAGAGAAACCTGACTTGACGAGCAAAAAATTTAAGAAATGGTGTAAGTATGGTGTATACGTACCTACTCCCCCCCCCTTTTAGGAAGGGGGACAGCTGAACCCGTCCGAGGACGGGCTGTCTACGTACCCTTTGCAGAGATCAAGATGTTCCGTAGTTCATGCTGGTCGTGGTGCATCCTTAGTGATAGTATTTCTTCAGATCCGGAGTTAAAATCGAGCTCTGGATTGCTGCTTTCGTCGCTTCGTACTGCTCGTCTAAATTCTTCATTTCTTCCTCATTCATGATAAAGTCTGATGATCGATGCAGAGCGTCCTGAATTGTTTGCGGCGTGTTCAGCGCCATCTCCCTTCGAAACTCTGATTTGTACCATAAGGATCGGTTTAGGGCTTCAAGGGCGGCCTTGTCACTTATTCCTTCTACTTTGGACACAACAACTTTGAACCTTGCCATGTAATCCCGAAGCGGTTCGTTAGGTTCTTGAGATAACGTCCATAGATCGGCGTCGGAGGTGCCTCGGTCCATGAACATCGAGTACTGCTTCAAGAACAAGGCGGAGAGCTGCTGGAAGCTGTTGATCGAATTACGTTCTTGCCTTGAGAACCATTCTAGTGCGGCCCCTTTGAGATGCTCTACAAACAACAGACAATAACCGGCGTCTTTTTCTTGCTTGGTCAGGTTGGCAGAGTTCCTCGTGAAGGCTCGTCCCATTGCTATGCGGAACGCCGTGATATGAGCTTTCGGGTCAGTGGTTCCTTCATAGAAAGGGATCCTGACTTTTCCGGGCACGGGGATCCTAGCCTCTGTGATCCTCGTCGTGAACGAGGTTCTTTTGGTTTCTTCGAGCATTTGATCAATCTCCGGCGCGGCACTTGTCGCATTATGCACTTGAGATTTCATGGCGCGTATCTCTGCAACTGTCCGAGCCATTGAGGCTCGCAACTCTTTGATTTCGAGGGTTTGCGCGTGAGTCATTCCCTTTGATTGGGGGAGTCGCTCCCGCACTTCTCTCCTCGGCTCGTCTTCGCGCTCCGCCTGCTCAATCCATTGGAGGTTTTCTTCTTCTTCAGTCGGGTTGTCGCCGCGAGCCGGATCGGTGATTTTGTCAGTCCGGACGCCGTTTAGTGCCGAGGCGAGCACTTCTTGGCTTATTCGCCGAGCCGAGCCGTTTTGTTGCGAGTTCGTGGTTCCATCGTTCTGCTGGGTGCCCACGTCAATCGCGTCATTCTCCTCTTCGCCGGCTCGTCGCCTTGAGTTCCGACGGAGTGGAGGCGGCTCGGTCATGTTGACTCGGGTTGCCGCGGGAGTCTGTTCGCCGAGGGGACGAAACATGGGTGGAGCCAAGTGGTTTCTCGCGCCGCTCCGAGAGGCCTCTGCAGGCGTTGAGAAGTCGAAGCGTCTCCGGATTCCATCCATCGGGTCGGGAATTCGGGCTCTCCAAGTTGGGTGTTGTCGCTCAGCCGCCATCGCGTCGAGCCTCTCCGTAATCGCCTCGTTTCTTTTGTCCTGCTCGTTGATTTTCTTCATCAACGCAGCCATCATGTTTCACATTTCCTCTTGGGTTTCGGTCGTTGCCGTCGTTGTGCCTGATGCTGGAGCGTCTTTCTCCGCGCCGTTATCGTTGTTGTTGTTATCGTCGAGGGTGTTGCTCGCCATGTTCTTCGGATCTTAAATTCTTGTCGATTTAGAGTAAGAAAGTTTCGATTTCCCACAGACGGCGCCAAATTGTGCGAGCCAAAACTCGCACAACCAAAAATTTGTAAGGAAAAACTAAGGGATCCGAAATTTCTAGGGTAATCGTAAGAACAGTAAGATCAAAAAAAGGTTTTGTTTTCTGTGAAAGTGTTTAGGTCTTATTGCTCTCGAGTTGTGAAAAGTTACAGAATGAATTGTATACATCGTCTATTTATACTAATTCTGTGAACCGCCTAGCCGAGAATTTCGGGAGGGATTTTCGGAATATTTCCTTATCGCCTCGTGCGGCTCACCGCCTTTGTATTTCACCTAGGGTTTCTATGGGCTTCGTCTTTCAAGGCCTAGGTTCGGCCCATCAAAACTTCTCCACAGCTCGGCCCACTTGCCATTCGAATCGCGACGTGATTTGGTCCACCTCACTGAGGCGCGGCTCGGCCCAAGCATGTTGAAATGCGGCTCGGCCCACTTCTCACGATACAGCTCGGTCCACCTGCTTTCTTGCACAGCTCGGCCCACTGGACATCCTTCCCGCGGCTCGGCCTACTTGTTCCTCTTCGCGGCTCGGCCCATCTTTGCACGGCGTGGCCCATCTTTCCTTATTCACGGCGCGGCCCATCTGCCTTTCTCCACGGCTCTCCCACTTGTGTATCTCCACGGCTCTCCCACTTGTCTTTCTCCACGGCTCTCCCACTTGTCTTGGTGAGCGCAGCTCGGCTAATTTATCTTTCTTCCATACTTAGTCATTTCGAGATGGTTTTATCCGCTTGGGGTGAAAACCGACCCCAACAAAAATAACCTAATAATTAAAGCTTGTATGAAAATCAACGAAAAACTTATTAAGACGAGACACTGGGTTTTTGGGAAAATTATCTCCGGGGATGAACGATTCAAAACATTGCTAAAAGTAAACTAAAAGATCCTAACTAAAACTTTTAGAACTCGAGTCACGAACGTATGAATACGCCACTGTCGTGATCATAATCAACTATCTCTCGCAACCCTGACCAGTAGGTTTCCACTCTGGCCCTGGAAGGGAAAATATGCAAGCTAGCTTAAGACTCTTCAACATTCACAGTTCGCCCATAGGTAGGTTTGCACTCCTATAGTTGATTTGCTCATCTAAATCTAGATCTGGCCCGGATAAATACTTTCGTAACACCAAGGACCGAGATCAGATTGTAGTTCATGACGGTACTGATTAGTGGGCCTCAAGGTTGTCTATTTTTATAAGCCCATTGGTCCTGAAGTTTTAATTTTATAAAACTCTACTGTCTGCAAATGCACAGATGTACGTTGTAGGATTTATGGTGTCGATCCATAGGAAAGATGTCAAATCTGCAAGAAACACCAAACTGGAAGAGTAAGCAAAGTCATAAACTCATGGGGTTTGGGTTTTGGTTATTGATCCTAAGCTAAACCTAATTTATTATTCACGGAAAATAAAATGCAATGCAAATGAGTTGTTAAAAGAATATCTCAAGGGTGTTCGACTCAAACAATAGACCCTAGACTCATAATGGATGATTTAGGCTTCTCCGGTTTACTCTAACCGATGTCCAAACATTTCCAATTAGCCTCCGAACGATTTATCTTCATCTGTTTTCAAGGATCTGCATGGAACTGGAATAGACATGTATATGATTAACCAATTCTCGCCATCTGAATCAACTAATCACTCAAATCTGACAATTAACTCTTGCTCTCATGCCAGAAATAAGATCATGCATTAACAATTGAATTCTTCTGCTCACATATTCTCTACAGGTAGCTTTCGACTCCAGTAACAACTATGTTCCCCTGAAGCTAGGTATGGATGATCTGATACAGCACTCTCGTGGCTCTGATCGATCCTAGGCTCAGAGAATAGGTCATGAATTTAGTCTCATGCAATATGAACAACTTAGAAGAGATGACATCCATAATATGGTTTAGAAACTTAGAAATTCTAATTGAACATGTATGTCTATCGATGACTCTTTAGCAACTTGACTATCTGGGACAGGTCTACATGATGCAAGAAATGATAAAAGACATGAAAGAATGTAAAAGATGAAACAGAAAACCTAATTAAATAAAAAAGAGAAAGAACAATGGATCCAGGGAGGAATTCCCTTCTCCATCGCCTAACCCTATAAAAACAAAGTTAGGTGGCTCAAAATCTCATTATAGGAGCACACACCCGTTTAGGGCTGCTAAGAAATGTATTTATATGTCTTAAGGTCTTCCAGGTCTCATTTAGAGATTCTCTGAAGAGGAATGGCGAAATGGGCTTTGATGTTAGGCCTTGTGACTCGAAAATGGTCCACCGGGGGTGAAAGTCTTCCGGGGCAGGTAAAATGCTTGTTTGCCGCGGGTGAGAGTATTCCGGGACTGGTGAATTTAGTCAACTTGTTCTCTATATATCTTTTGATTGCACCGTTGGATCTTTCTAATGTAAAGTGCTATGCAAAGCTGGTTGTCTCCTCTTGAATATCACCAAATTTTAGCTGGATTGGACGGTGAGAAAGTCTTCATTTGAGGCTGAACTTCTGATGGTCTCACTCTGAGCTAAAAATGTGGATTTTTTCCATTTTGCCATCTTTTTCCCTAAGTTTCCTGAAAAGAGCGTTGAAACTATAAATATAGAGAAAACATAATAAAAGTTCCTAAAACTGATTTAAACGTTTGAAAAAGCATTTGAAATCAATGGTCAAAATGGGTACAAATACGGTGTTATCAACTCCTATAGACTTAGACTTTGTTTGTCCTCAAACAAAACAAGATCCAATATGGAAAAATATCATCAACTGAAATCGGAGGAAACTCAAAAATATCAGCAACTAAACCTCTAGACCTTAATTATGGACAATGCATCAATCAGATCAAGTTTAGAAAATTCTCACCAAAATACAAACTTAACTAATCCGTTAATCCGTCATGCGAAAATCCGTTAATCCGTCATGCAAAAATCCACTCACTTAGAACTAACTTCCAGTAAACTAGCTCTTAACATTCATTAAAGGTTTCAGTGATTCTCATAAAAAAGATATTAAACAAGGCATTCAAGGTAAGGTATCAAAAGGCTTTTTAGTGGTGAGGTTTGATGTTTTTATGGTTACCTTTTTCTGGAGAGACATGCTATTATGCAAAACAGCAAGAGATGATGGAGCTGTTGACACCCACAGTTTCCAGTCACATTCTCCTTGCTTTAAGATTTCTGATCTCCTTTCTTCAGGTTCTCCTTATAACTCCCCCATACTTGGATTTTTGTCCAGGTTGTGAATCCATAACTCCTTAAGGAATACCTATTACCTTTTGCTTAAATGATTTCGGCTTCTAAGAATCTTTAGGCTCTTGGTTTCCTTTCCTTTCTTTCTTTTTCTCTTTTTTTGTTTTTTTTGTTTTTTTTTTTTGGAAAGGGGAAACTGCCTTTTGACTTCGAGTCTTAGGGAGCACGAAAATTACCTTTAAGAATGAATTTTCTGAGACATCATGAGGCTTTTTGAGGTTGCATGGTACACTTCCTTCCTGGTTTCATTCAGTCCTTCCCTTGAGTGACTGAAAACTATGTTGTTCCTCCATCTCTGGCGCTTTTGCACATATCTGTCGACATAGACTTAAAAGAGAGTGCATGATGTTTGAATATGGAGGTTTGGGTTAAGGGTAAGGTACCAGCTAAAGATGAACTGGCCATCTAAGATAACAAAGAGTAGTAACAATGAGGTAAAGATGTCCTAGATGTATGTGATGATGCCTTCTTAAAAGCATTGATAAGAAAATTAGATATCAAGATTAAGTCCAAGTAAAATGAGCTAGTATATCCTATCAGAAAATATCTCCATGAATAGAAGTCCTTTGGTGGGATTTTGTAGTAAATTAGATAGCAAGTACTCTATCTACCGCCTAGTCTAGTACTAAACCTTGAAAGAGCTTTTTATAAACTGATGGTGCAGAAGCAGACAAGTTGGTTGTCATCATTGATTTTGTCATTATTCCCTCAAAATGTATTTGAACTTTGTAAACACTTTTTGAAACTCAAAAGACTTTTGAAAAGTTTTAAGAATATCGAAAAAATAAAAAAATTTTAAAGAAAAATGCAGAATGCAAAGGCTCATGCAAGAAAAGGTGGTTAGAAAGGGATGAAATCTTCCCCAAACTTAATTCACACTGCCCCCAGTGTGAAATAAATCAGGCAAGGATGAGAAATAGAGTATGTAAAGATTCAAAAGATGAAGGAAAAGAAAACTTACCAGGTGTTGGTGATGGATTGTGAGGTGGTTGTGGAGGTGGTAGGATGTTGAATGGTGGATGGTGGTTGATGTGGTGTGATGCTTGATCAATTTTGGACTGATTTGAATCAAGGTAGAGGTAAAAGTCGCCAAGGGTGGCCGAACTGATGCGGGCCGCAAGCCAAGGTGTTGCGGCTATGGAAAAACTCTTCCTGGCCGCGGGCCAAGTCTTCGTGGCCGCGGCAAAACTTCTTCTGGCCGCGGCTGAAGGCTTCTCGGCCGCGGTCAGCTCCTTTTTTTGTTTTTTTGATTCATACTAAGGCCTGTATAAAATAAGGAAAACAAAATTCAGTTGAAAAAGAAAATCAAACTTAAATAAATAAGTACTTAAATGGGTTGCCTCCCATCAAGCGCTTTCGTTTATAGTCTTTAGCTAAATTTTGCAAAAAAAAAGACTTAGTTCAAATAAGATATTGTCCTGACAAGTTTTTTTCGAATTCTTCTTGTTCTCTCTTGCAGGTTCTTCATCACTCCAAAGTTCTCCTGGTTCAAATGCCTGAGCTT